CAGTGTCACCTGAAGATCAGTCAAATGAACATAAATAATATGCGGAAGAAGAAAATTAACACGCATCCCTCTTTCTTTGAAGGCACCACATCTGTAGCAGGCAATATTGCAGCATCATGAGCTATAGACTCACTTCCAGAAGCATGAGGAAGATCTAGACAGCTGAAGACTAGCAAGGAGATTTGGGTAATTGGGAAGGCTGGGCCTATATCTCAGAAGCAATCTTCCCCAGCCTGGAATGCTCTATGTGTTTAACTACAACTCATGTTATTCCCAGCCAGTAGGGTTAATGGTTATGTGGTCTGTCTATGATGGGAGCTGTAGTACAACACCTCCAGAGAGCACTGGACTGGAAGAGGCTGCTTCTAAAACTGTTCTCTCCCATCAAGCATATTAGAAGTCAGCTACCTCTGTTTAGGATTCACCAGATATTCTTTAATATCAAATTATCTAGATTTTATTTCAGCTGCCCTTCCCTTTCTGCAGTAGCTACTTCCACTGAAGCAAGAAGATTGTCATCAAGATAGAGGACACCTTCAACATCACTGTAAGTATTTTATTTCTAATCTTACACAACTGTAGCACAATAGATCTCATTAACTCATCTGCGGTGAACACATATTGAACTCATGATGACTATTCAATACATTTTGTTATTGAACATTTGGTAGCTTACTTAACCTAACTTTGTACTTTCAGTTAATATTTGGCAAGCCTTTATTTAAATGTTCTTCAACCCATCATACACATTGTATAAAAACAATTATGTCTATGTAAATAATAGTGTGTTTTTTTCTCCCTAGAACTTCAACAAAGGGGCCAAGATGTTCAAGATAGCAGCAGAGAAGACTATAGCATTGTTCCTACAAAGAAAATGTATACTTTTATAAAAAGTATACTGTTTAAAAACTGAATAAAACTGAACTCTGTGCTTCTTTAAAGTAGATATTTATGCTTTGGACTCATTTTTATGAAAGAAAAACTGTTAATGTGTGGATAATGTTGGTTGAGTGAGCAAGAAATAGATTGGGATCTACTAGTAGGTATCCAGGCAACATGCAAGGGTTTCAAATTCCTGATTATCCCTTCCATATCTTCAGTGTCATGGCTGAAATAAAAAAAGAGATTAACAAGGAATGGATTGTTGTATAAATGAATTGTGAATTACTTTTGATTCTGATACTTTCACTTATGGTTCCCCCAAAAGGAGCAGTGGAGCAAAAAACAAAGAAGCAACAGAATGTTTAAAATTACAAGATGTATTATCTTTACTCAAGTGAAAATAAATAGGAGACTAATCCAGATTGCAACCTTTGTGAAGTAAGAAGGGGGAATCTTTCCTTCTCCTCACACTTTCCCATTAAAAATAATAATTGGTACCAATGGAGAAGGAAAAAAGCCATGCTTTCTGATTTGTGTTGAGTAAATCAAAATAGAAATAGAGATAGAAACTGTAATATGTAGTTATAATTACACATATAAAGTTTAAATCAACAATAATCATATAAAAAATATTGAAATAATGCAAAATGGTGAATCTAAAAGTTGTACCATGACGTCTTTTCTGAAAGAGGAGGGGACAAGAACTAAGCAAAATTCCAAAACAGTTACACAATTTTGGGTGTCACACAGGAGGAATCCCTTTTTATGGGGACCAAGAAGTGGGCTTCTGCAAGTGGGAAGTCAAAAAAAGGCCTTCTCCTACAAAAATTAACATCTGTGTAAAGTCATAATGAGATCACCAGATAATCTTAAAATCCATATCTTGGAAGTAATAAGTAGCCTGTTTCAATCTTTTACTCTAGTGTAATGTGATCATTGTAGCACGCTAGTTAGGCCATCACAAGAAAGACAGGCTTTTAGCTCCAGTTCAACACCTTGCTTGTTAAGGAAGCCTGATTTCTGCCACCCTTGGATTACCCTTCACAAAATCTCCTCTGATTAAGAAGAGGTCAGAAACATGCTCCAACTATATAGAACTGAGAAGAGTAAATGTGTTCATTCATTTCATCTACATCACACCTTTCCTTGGTATTCTCTTGGCTCATGGTATTCACTCCTCTGGTTTTTCCCCACAACACCTACCCGATATGATAGGTTGGGCTGAGAGATAAAGTAACGACTGGCCCACAGTCACCCCATGAGCTCCCAAGGGGTGAACTTGAACCTGCATCTCCCTAGACCTGATCCAGTTCCTTGTTCCAGAGGTTCTTGTACTGTGGTCCAGAAGGAACTTAGAGAAAAGTTTCAATTTTTTAAAAAAACTTGATCAGGCCTGTGAAGATAATATGGGAGTGCTATGAACTTTTTCTCTGCCCCATGTTCCTCACTTTGCTTGCACAAGCCTGCCGTGGGCAGTTGCAATGCTGCATGGTGTGAGGACCTCTATGATATATCAATTAAAATGTAATTAATAAAAGGAGCATATTTATTTCTTGTCCAACCCTAACCCCAATGAAATCATTAAGTTTAATTTATACCCGGGAGTCACACAAATTCATTTACCATGGTACAAGTGTGAGGACCCTGCCTTAACCACACTACCACAGCCCGGCTAAAAGCTATCAGTCTGAAACTATACAAGGTTGTTTGCAACCTGTTTCCACCCTCTGTGGCAACAAGCGCTTTATAAGGAGAAAAACAAGAAAACGAAAGAAAAAGGGTAATTATGAAGAAATTTGCAAACAAATTAACAGAATCAATGGGAACAATATACACTATATTCCAAATAAGTCTTTGGAATTTTTTGTCCAGGCTAGAAGATAGCAGAAAACTAGGGCTGCAGTTTGTAGATGTCTCTGAAAATAGTACAGGCACTGATTTCATAGCAAACTAAACCACTACTCCATTTTAGTGTCTTGTACAAGTTAACCCATGTGATTTGTGTATTCATTTACTCCTAGTAAGTAGGGTTAATTCAATAAACTACTAAATGGCTATGCTCATCTCTGGTTAAAATAGCTATAGATAACCCTGTCTTGTGAGCATAGCCATCTCTTGCAATAGTGATATGCATTGTTAGTAAATCATTTAAGTTTTTAAAAAAGGCAATGTATTTGCTCACCTTTGAAAGGAAATTAGATGGGTTATCAGGATATTGCTTTCCAGATGGAGCACCATTCTAGTTTCTTCTGAGATCCCCCTTCCCTTTCCCAAGAGTTTTCCTTGGTGAGAAAGAGCAGCTTCGGGCAAATTATTGATAAATCACATAGTGACCTCATCCATATTTGAAGCATCTGCTTTTTTTTTCCTTTCAAGTTAAAAGTGGCTATTTTATGCATGCTGTTTTTTTTAAGTGCTTTATTGAAATTAGTAGTCTCCTATGTTTCCATTCATCCTGGATTATCCTGTAACACTGTAAATTCGGTAAAGACTCCTTCAGGTTGAGCTCAACTCCTGAAGATTTCATGGACAGAGCCATTCTCTAGAAGTGCCATGAACATTTTTCAAGATGGTTTCCCCCTCCCCTCCCTTAAATTCCCAGTGAAGCTACAGCCTGAAATTCCCAGGAGATCTTCCATCTAAGTACTTGCCAGCCCCAATTCTGCTTAGCTTCCAAGACAAAAATAAGGTTGGACAGATGCTACTAATGCTAGGACAGTCCTATAAATTAGCAGGTAGTATTTTATACTACCAAATATGAAATTCTGGGTCCAAAACGGCATGTCTGAAATAGCTCCATATCACTCACATCCTGAGTCCATTTTGCTTCTAATTTTGTTCAGGTACAACTCCATTCTGTGCAGGTAAAATGGGAATATCTTCAGGACTTGGATTTTCTCTGTCCTATCAATAGAAGAGTTTTCATGAAGAGGCATTTAGAGATTTTTTTTTTCTCTCCTTGGATATCAAAATTCTGGCTTGAGAAACTATGCATTTGAATCCTGTAGGGGGTAAAGCACAATTCTCTGTTCTACCTAATGGAAAAAAATGTCTTAGATTAGCACCATTTTGCCCAGTAATTTTCTGCTTTCTGTACTAATAAACTTCAATTTATTTCTCCTGAATAAAGGTATAATGAGAAGTCTTGTTTTAAGTTATCAAACTGATTAGGCAATATAGTATTATGACTTGGATGGAAGGAAGACTCAGGAGCAACAGGCCAATTCTGAATAAAGACAATAGCACTACATATGTATTGTTAGGTCTTAAGATGGTGGCACTTGGCCAACCCTGTTTGGGAAGTCCAAAAATCCCAGAAGGTGTCAACTGCCAACTACGTCCGTCCTGGTGTCAGAGAACAGCATGGATGTGTCTCTGTAGTTACCAGGAGTTCAGCTCAACTTGAGGGCATCTGCAGAGGGTACAAGTTCCTCCCAGAGAAAAAAAAATGCTGCATTGCAGGTGTGTGTAACTAGCCTTCAGCAGACCCATTAGCTTGCCAGTAGTGAATTCTTGTGAACTTCATGAGTGGAAGAGAAGTTTGGAGAACTGAGTTTAAGGGGAAAAGCTGAACAGTCCTTTAACTTCCTTTTTTTTCCTCTCCACTTCCAACACTCCCTCTCAGGAGTGGGGTGTTACTGGAGCTGTATAGCCTTTGACCATAATCATTATGCTATCTTCTACCATCTTTTACAGCCTCTTTATCCCACCTTAACAGGATAATTACATCTAGGAAGGGATAAAACCAACTTCTTTACTACAACAGCAAATCATTTCATAGCATAAGAAGAAATGCTGTCTCTGACGGTTCTCCATTTTCAGAAAATATCACCAGGCTTTTTATTCAGCATATTTTCATTCCTTTCTCTTTATCATCACCTAATACCTTCTATAGTTGAAAATGGCATGGGTCCTGTTATTCAGATATCGGTCAATCAATGTTTTATTATGGTCACAGACCAGAATTACAAATAAAAATGCAGTAAAAATGAAATAAAATATAATAATATATTACAGTTAATGGTGGAATCATCAGTGGGCAATCAAAGTCTGCCTAATTTTACAGAGAGTGTAACAAAATTTAGCTACGTTCAAAGAAACCGAATCATACTGATCAGATAGCAACTGTGTTGTTCAGATATTGCTTGCTACAATAGCACCCACAACTTGTGCTTAGCCTTCTAGGCCATGCAGAGCCCTAGCAGCCTTTTCATGCTGCCAAAACTCCAGGGAGCATCACTCCTCAAGCATGTGGATTCAGACCCATATTTCTGACCCTCCCTTCCACCCACAAGCTTATGTAGGGGAAACCTCCATTAACTTGTTAATGGCCGAGGACACTCCCAGCCATTGTTGCTTTGTGTTTGAAATGCAATGAACGTGTTGCTATGGCTACTCATTCTTTATACAAGGGAGAATTTATGCTGATTCTGAGGACCACCGATGCATATATTAGAGAAGTGCCTCCAGTTCTTAAATAGCAGAATCAGGTTTTAAGCATTTTTTTGTCTCCTACAAATCACCACAATGCCTTTTACTACTAATCATGTTTCCTCTCCTTTTTCTGCTTTCCTTTTGTAGCTGTAACTTTCACGAGTTACAAAAAAACACCGCCACCCGTACCCCCTCGTACCACCTCTAAGCCACTAATTTCAGTTACAGCACAGAGCAGCACAGAATCAACCCAGGATGCCTATCAAGATAGCCGGACTCAGGGGATTTCCCCGTGGCCTCAGGATGGCCGAGGAATGTACAACTCCACGGACAGTTTGGATAGTAATAAGGCTATGAACCTTGCCATGGAAACGGCAGCCGCACAACGCCACATGTCGGACAGTCAAATTAGCTCCGTGCGAACCAGCGACAAGGCCATCCTCGCAACAAAGGCTGAGGAGTTCCTGAAGAGTCGCCGCTCATCCATAGGGATCCAGGTAGCCTGTCATTAACATCTGTTCTGTGATGAGCTGCTCACCTGCGCTCCGTAAATAACTTCAGATGAGTCATTCAGCCCAGAGGCCCCTAAAAACTTGAACAACGAGCCCTGGCTGCAGCGTTTTGCATTAATCGTAATTCACATCCTGGCTACATGTCCATGCAGAGCAGAGTTGAGCCAATGTGCAGTGCCTGGAAATAAAATGAATGAATATATCTCTGGGCAAGTTACCTGCCATTAATGCTTGAAATGGAAATTATACTGCTCAGCCACATGTGAACAGCATGTTCTCTCTTTCTCTCTTTCACTGTAGAGATCTTGATGCCAGATCTTGGCAAGAGTCAAATCGGGAACTCTAGTCAGATATTCCTCTTTTTCTTTTAACCTTGTACTGCCCTGTTCTTCCTTTATGGTTGTGTCTTAATTACGTAGCAATGGAGACACTTATAGAAGAGTGATTTTGAAGCTATAAGAAAACTGAAACTATGGTATAAAAGGTATAGTGCTAGTAACACTTTTTTCCCTTCGGTGGTTGGGAAGAAATAAAGAGATTTGAAAGCAAATGGATTTGAATGAGCAAAATTAGATGTTATAGCCCCTGCATGAAGATTTGAACTCAATCTGGGTATAATTTCTTTGAAAACATTCCTCCATGAAGAGGGACCTATGTCAGCTTTGACATATTGAATTGTTATGGTGGCATTTTTCACATATCTGTATACACATTTTTAAATTAATCATTTCCCCTTCTTAAAATGTGTAATGATTTCGTTCCTATGGTAAAAGAGTACCACATCATTTTGCATGGCTTAGAATGATGTAGCACAATATAGTAAGACGCTGACATGCCAAGAGGGTAAAAAGAGAAAGTATCTCTAAGCACATACTATAACAGAAAGTATTAACAAAAGCTGAATCATGCTTGTAGGTGTGACCTGCAACACAACTTCTACAAATCTTGAGGTTCCACAGAACCTGCTTATACCTCTGTTTTAGAAATACACAAGTGCTAACCTTCACATTTGGTGACAGAAAATAGAGAGAAGGATTCCTGGTGATAGGCAAATACCATAGAAGTGATGCTCCATTGGTCAGAATAATCAGTTTTAAGTTAGTTATAAAGTCCACTGCTTGAATTAAACTATTTATTTGAACGGCATTGTTTAAAAAAAAAAAAGTCACCAACATATCTAAGGAGCTGTGTTAACTGAGATATGTTCATTCATGAGACTAAGGGCTGCCATGAGAGTGGGGGTCCCAAAAAGTCAAGATAGTGGGCATGGCTACCTGATTGAAGCCTTGCCACTTTTCTAGATATATGCCATGCATACAGTGCACATTAAAAAGGGGTGGGACTTTGATCAGGCAGTCACACCTGCCATCTTGACTTTTTTGACACCCCCTGCATTGACACCCCTGATGTTGCTACACAATAATAGCTGGATTGATTCACAACTGTTGTTTGTTG